TAATTAATATTTATTTAATAAAAACCGAAACCGAACCGAATTCATTGATAAAATTCGGTAACCGAACCGATTAACTTATAACAATTTCGGTTCGGTTTCGGTTTGTAAAATTAAAACCAAATTTTTTCGGTTAATTCAAAATCGGTTTCGGTTTTAACCGAAACCGGTTTTTGCCCACCCCTACGGATAAGGAAGAAGAAAAAGAAAGAATAACTCAGCCATCCTTATCCTAATTTCCTTTCTTTTTTAAGTCCCTCAAGTTTGGACATTTTGATCATTAAGCCCCTCCATAATATTTTTCCTCAAATAAATCCCTTATTTAATGCTAAAATATCCCCAAATTTTGGGGTATTACAACTAGACTAAAAAAAAGTAGCTCTCACATGCCTTTAGACCAATCAACTCCCATAAAAGATGGGTGAACACTAATGTTAATACTCTCTATTTCAAAATATAAGTTCATTTGATTTTGTATACATATTTTCAGGTAATATTTTTGTTTAATATTTATATAATAATTAAAAAATTTTTTATCAAATGAAACAACTAAATAAAAATTATGTATAAAAAAATTTAAATTTTCATTTATATACTCTATAAAAGTATTTCTAAATTTACAAATAAAAAAATCAAACCATTTATATTTTAAATCAAAAGGAGTAATCAAAGAAGTATTTGAAGTGTCATGATAATGCCAAAACTTTCAAAATTTTAAAAACACTTTTCAATTAGCGGCCTGAAACCTCACTTACAATTCTTTATTAAGATAAAAGTATAACATACATTTTTGTAAACAAAACCCACCTACATCATTCACTACGGTAGGCACACACGTTTTTTTATATTTAAATGGTCATAGTTTTTTTTAAGTCAATTTTTATTTATTTTAAAATTAATTTTTTAAAATAATTTTTAAAGATGCTTCACATTAACTTAGTTAGGGTATTTAAAAAATTAATTTTTTAAATATCAATCTTAAAACTTAAAATTTAAATCTAATTTATAAAAATATAGTTACTTACTGTTAGATTTAATTCCAAAGACACTCTTATTATTAGTATTTACATGTATGATTGAGCAGCCTTGTTGATTTTCTTCAATAAAGTACCCACCACCGCTTCCATAGCCGCGCCAGCTGTCGTAAAAGGGTGGGGTTCTGGTTTCACTCACTAAAGAGTCAATATTATAGTTTTGGTTAAATGCTCATTTTGGTCCCTCAACTTTAGTGGTTTGCACATTTTTGGTCCCTTAAGAATTTTTTGCACTTTTTTGATCCCTCAACTATACGAAATGCACTCCGTTAGTCCTTCTGTTAA